CCAGATGTAAGACATGAGAAAAGGGAAGTGAGAATTGTGAAATATATTAGGGTAGAAAGGAAACCAGATGTGAGAGATGAGAAAAGGGAAGTGAGAATTGTGAAATATATTAGGGTAGAAAGGAAACCAGACGTGAGGCATGGGAAGAGTCCACATGCAGTGGACACAGACTAGAACAAGGAGCCCAGAGGCAATGGCAGAGGGGCTGATCAGAGGACGTGCAAGGATCCCCTTGCAGGTCTGCGGGGATGAAGGGAATCCTACTCCAAAATGCCCGGAAAGGGGCAAAGCCAGTGTGGTCAGAACGGAGGGGTAAACCTCATTGAACATCTGTCTTATCCCTCAAGGGGCGTGATGAGACATGAGAAATGCTGACCACAGGGCACACAGCAGAGTTGATGCTTGGGAATGGTCTCTGGGAACATCATGGGGTTTCAGACTTGAGGAGGTGCCTTGACTGTTCCTGCCATGGTCCGCCATATCCCTCCTCCTCCTGGAACACTCCAGGGCTCGCCATAACTCACATGCATTCTGCTGGTTTCCTATCTCTCTTTCCTTTCTGCCCTCCTCACCAACTCCTCCCATCAGTCATGTGATCCCAGGTTTCCATTCCATCCTAAGCCATGGCCTCTGGATTGCTCTCTCCCAGGTACTCATTTATCCCTGGTACTATAGATTATTATTTTTCATTCCTCCTTTCTGCAGGATGACTGTAAGTTCTGGGGGAGTCTGTACCGCCATGCCTCCTTCATGGTGATATATTATTTATGATTTGATAAAGATTGCCTGAAGTATCAGAATGCAAAGCCAGCCACACTAGTTAGCTATAGGACCTAGGCAGTGGTGGCACACACCTTTAATCCCAGGACTCCGGATGGATCTCTGTGAGGTCAAGGCTATCCAAGGCTACACGACAGTGAATCAGTTTAAAAGATGCACAGAGCACACACCTTTAATCCCATCCCTATAGAGGCATACAAAAGACATGGAGCCCAGTGCTCGAGCTGCATTCTGAGATCTAGTCTCCAGACAGCTGAGGAGAGGCAGCAGTCTGAGGCTTGGTGAGAGCTCCTGGAGCCAGGATTAGCCCTTTCAGTCTGAGGTAGAGGTAAGAACTAGTGACCAGCTGCTTTGCTTTCCTGATCTTCAGCTTGAAGCTTGAACCCCAGTATCAGTCTCTAGGTCTTTATTATTCATGCTATACTCCTCATCTGTTCTCCTGATTTTTCTTATTTTTTTGTCTTTTTATGGTGATTATTTATTACTTTTAACAGTTAATAAAAAACCAAAATTTTTATTTTTAATTAAAAATACAAAGCAAACAATTACTGGGAAAACAAGATTCTTTTTCTGAGTTTTTAGCCTCATTAATAAAAATAATTTGAAAATTGGCTCAAGGAAATTCAAGGATAATTTATTAGAATTTGAGAAAAAAAAACAAGCAAGTAACAGTATAGACAAGCTGTGAATCGGAGCAACTGCCAGGAGGGGAAGTAGAGAAAAAGCCATGACTTTTTTTTTCCGGTTTGTATGGTATCTTTTTCCTTAGTCATTTGTTTATTTGGTTTTATTTTAAAAACAATCTTATTTTTACATACCAATCCCAGTTTCTTCTCCCTCCCATCTTTCCAGTCTCCCCACTGTCTACCAGTACCATCCACTCCTCACAGAGGGCGAGGCCTCCCATGGGGAATTATCAAAGTCTGTCACATCCTTGGGAGCAGGACCAAGCCCCTCCCTGCTGTATCTAGGCTGACCAAGGTATCCCTCCATAGGGAATGGGCTCCAAAACTCCAGTTCATGCACTGGGGACAATTACTGGTTCCACTGCCAGTGGCCCCAACTGCCACCTGCATTCAGGAGGCCTCGTTTGATCTTATCAGGTTTCCCAGTGGTGAGTTTGGAGTCAGTGAGGTCCCACTTGCTGTTTCATGCCTTTTGAGTTAGCTGCAGACATCAGAGAGACACTGAGAAAGCCCTGAACTTGTGCAGGAGTACCTAGCTCACCTGAACTTGTGTGGGAAGTGCCTAGCCGCAGATCTAAGTTCAGAGGACAAGGGATGCAGGCTCTGTGAAACTGACATGTCAACAGCCTATTGAGAAAGGAGAAACGGGATCTGGAGAGTTGGCTCTGCAGTTAAAAGCACTAGCAGCTCGGATAGAGGACCTGGATTTGGTTTCCAGTGCCCACATGGTGGTGACTCCCAACTCCCCCTAACTCCAATTCCAGAGGGTCTAATGCCCCCTTCTGGCCTCTGTAGACACTGCATGCAGGAGGTACACATACACATAAGCAGATAATACTAATATGCGTAAATCAAAGGAAGTGTTTTGAAGAAAGGAAAAGTGAGGCTGAGAACAAGAGTGGGCTAGTTAGCTGAAGCAAGAGCCCCCGAAGCACGACTCCTTTAAAGACGCTGCCTCCACTGTGTGTAGTGCCTGGACTTCTTGTATTCATGTACATGCTCTACTCCACTCCTTAGTGGAAACTGATAAGAAAGGACTTCCAGTCTTCTGCAAACTGACTTTCTCATTCTCCTGCCACAAAACCCTTTATATTCATTTGTTCCCGAAGGATTTTGAACCTCAAATTTAGAATTTAAGCCACTCAATAATATGGCTGCAAAATCCCTTTTAGCAAGTCCAGTGCATTGTGGGTCTTTAAGCTCACACACACTTTATGTTAGGTCTTTCTCAGCATGGTTAGTTTCTAAACAGGTCACCTCAGATGGCCAAAGGACTCAGGCTTCGGTGAGGCCAAGCTTTCCTACCCTATTCTGAGGAAATTAGATGGCATACGCAGGATTAGTGGTCCCAGAAGAGAGGAAGGACCAAAGCTCACACATGGTGGACATTGTATTCTTTTTGCTTTCATTTCCAGGTGTTCAGGATCCCTGGGAGGGCTTCTGGTCAGGTTATATGTCCTCAGGTCTGAAGGCCCCCGGTACACCTGCAGCCATCACACACTTTTATTTCCTTTTTAAACCAGATGGGAAACTCAAAGCAGGGACTCTGAGCTAGGAGATAAATAAATGATACTACATTTGAAGATCCGACAGAAGAGGGACCCTCTCATGTTCACGTGGCCTGCCCACTGAGTGACTGTTGCTGTCTGTGTGAGTGGATTATGGCTGCTGTCTCATCACAGCCTCCACGGATCACCCGGCTTCCAGGGCAGTAAAGAGCCCATTTCTTCTCCTTCACTGTGGGAAAGCATAGCAAAATGCTTAGGAGAAAACGAAAACCAACCCACATTTGTTTCTTCAGCATTGTGTGTCCTGGATGTTGTTAGCAGCTGTGCTTCTTAGACATAGCCATCTATTTCACGTTCATCTCTTTTTCCACGGCAGAACACGTGAGATACTTCTAGACCACTCAGAACGCTCCCCAAACCTCCTCTCTCCATCTGTAAATCGGGGGTAACGTCCATGTCGCAGGGCTCTAACTGTGGGGGTGAGATGAACGCAGTGAAGTAGATTTGTGTGCTGCACCAGCAGGGTCTGCAGTGATCAGCCTGGGTGTGGTGGAATCAAAACAATGACACGGAGTCAGCCCAGGGTGGGAAGGCCAAGGGACGTGAGACTGACTTCTTGTGTTTGCGCACGTGTGTGTGTGTGTGTGTGTGTGTGTGTGAGCGTGCATGCGTGCGTGCGTGTGTGTGGAAGGGAGATAAAACTTCTCTAGGTTGGAAATGTTACTCATTTATTTATCCATGAATAGGACTGGCTTAATTTTATGAGAGTTGCTAAGGATTCTAACAGGTTTCTGAAGATCTCTTGCTTCTGTTAGCTGTGAGTGGTAACACCCCAAAGTGTGACACTGAGGAGGAGGCTGGACTGTGTGCCCAGCCTTAAAGGGCCGCTGTTCCTGCAGGAAGCAGGGCTGAAGTGCATAGGCTTTCCCGGCTCCATGGGCAGCAGGATGTCAGGTGTCCAGGCTTCTAGGTCTCCTGTAGCCACTTTCAGAAATGAAGCAGGTTCCCCCCCCCCCCGGTATCAGGGGTCTCTGAAGACTCAGGTGTGTTGATGTGTGTGACTACTCTTCTGTGAATGTGTGTATCTCATGTGGCTTAAACATCCTAACAGAGGTGGAAGGAAGACTGTCTTTCCCTATTCAAAGCTGATGTGCAAACTGCAAATACTATGACAAGTGTCAGTCCCCTCTGACATGACGTGTAGACTGGAGTGACAGAGGGCCAGAGCCCAGGTATTCTGTGGGGAGAACCCTGAACTGAAGGAGATGGAGAGGCCTTGGCAGGGGACGCGCTCTTAGACCAGAGGCAAGTCATGATTTCCTCACATTTGCCTGGACCTGAACCGACATTTCCCCAGGGACCCGTTCTGTATGTGAGGAGACACTCAGCACTTGAATAACTGTGAGTTAATACCTTTGAAATAGGATTCCAGGAAATGAAAAGGAGGAAGAGGAGGAGGAGGAAGGAGGTGGGATGGAGTGGAGAAGGAAGAAGGGAGGGAGAGGAGGGAGAAGGGGGGAGGGAGGAGGAAGAGGAAGAGGAGGAAACTAATTAAAGAGTGAATTTACAATGCAAAATAGTTAATAATGTAAAGCTTTGGAATGTCAGTGTGAGGTTACCCTCATAGTATAGTGGTTAGATTACAGAAGGAGCCTTCTAGGGTGGTGGGAGGCATCGTTCCCTTGAACACGTTGCTGTAAGTCACTAGTAAAATTCAGAAGAGTTGGAAAACAGAAATAATATTGGTGTAATTAATTGAAATCTTCTGGCCAAATAGGAAATGACCATTTGTAGATGTTTTGCTATCAATTAAGATAATACTCAAAATAGTATTTGTGACCTCAGAGCTAATGTGATAGATCAAAATTATTCTGAGTAAGAGATACATGGCTATTTTATTCTTCCCAGCATTCTGTACTTTTAATTTCAAATAAACTATTCTTCATATATAGTGGTGGGGTTGCAAATTTAAAGTGTTTTTAATTCTTCTTATTCCTCTCCCTTCTTTCCTCATCTTCTGCAACAGGGTTACCTGATGGAAAACCGAATCTCGGGCCTGAAATGTGACACTGATGTGTTTGTGACCTTTGAAGGTGACAATGTAGTCATGCTTCAGGTAAGATTTATGACATGTTTATTCATTTTAAACAGCATTGTTTTCAAGACAAGCATTATCCAAAGAGTCAGAAGTGTTCTGTACTTTTTATCTTTTTCTGATCTCCTTTAATCGGCAGGTGTTTCCCTGTTAGGCAGTTGAGCAGGGGATTGGGTTATTTCTCTTTTAGGTCGTCTTTGATGTTGAAATATGTCTTTGTAGTTTCAGAAAACTGCTTGCACATACTAAGATTTTTCTACTAGCAAGGCTATTCCAATAGAGTGTGTAGACCTTGGAGATAAACAAGTGGAAGACAGAATGCTAAGTTATAAAAGGATGGGCAGTCAGCCTCCCTAGTCAACACAGAAATACACACTAGGACAAACAGAGACACTGTTCTCCTTTCAAGTTAGCTCATGTCTGAAAGCTCCTGGAAGTCTCATTGTTGGTTAAAGCACAAGAGTGTTTAGCTTGTTACTATGGGACTTTGTGTAATTCTACCCTAGAACTCTACCCTAATAATCATAAATATGGAACAAACAAACAAACAAAAACCACTGAAGCAATACATTCTCACCACTACATAATTTACAATAGCAATGAATATCAATAACAAAATGATTATGTAAATCATACTCTGACCACTCAGTGGGGAATTATATATCACCTTTAAAATTGTACTTGCAAGCAGTTCTGCTTCTAAGAGAAATGTAAAAGTTATGGGAAATAAAGTGACATAAAATTATATACAGGATATAATTGTTGTGTTTTTAAAAGACAATAATGGAGACTGGCTAAGTCATTGAGTAAAATGCTTGCTACACAATCTTGGAGACTCAAGTTCAGAGCCCCAGAACCCATGTATTAACTGGGAAGGTGGGACAGCTGCCTGTAATCCCAACACACAGGAGACAGAGATAGGGACTCCATGCGATAAGCAGGCTAGCTCAGCTAGACAAAATGGAGCGCTCTGGGGGGAGTGAAAGACTCAGCCTCAATATAGAAGGTAGAGAGCAATGAGGAAAGACACCTGACATCAACCTGAGGCCTCTGTACATGCACATATGCACACCCGTATACATACATATGCTCATATGAACTGCCACATACATACATATGTACACATGCACTCCCACATACATATGTACATATGCATACCCAAGTACATACATATGCTCATATGCACTCTCACATACATATATATGTACAAATGCACTCCCACATACATACATATGCACACATGCACACCCACATACATACATATGTACAAATGCACTCCTACATACACATATATGTACATATGCACTCCCACATACATACATATGCACTCCCACATACATATATATGTACATATGCACTCCCATGTACATACGTATGCACATATGCACACCCATGTACATACATATAATCATATGAGCAGCCACATACATACATATGCTCATATGCACTCCCACATACATACATGTGCTCATATGAACTGCCACACACATACATATGCACTCCTATAGACATACATATATACATATGCACTTCCACAAACATACATATGCAGCAAAACAAAAGTAACAATAACAATAGATGAATAATGGGGCTTGTGGTCTGTCAGTGGAATAGCCACACCTCTCTGAATCCTTTCTTAATAATCAACATCTTGGACAACACCCAGCAAACAAGCAGGGCTGGACTGAAAGGCAAAAGAAAGATACTGACTGCCTAGAGACCTTGGAATTTGAGACATAAAAAGGCAATTATTTGCCCAGGTTTTAAGAAGCATGGACAAAATACACTGCAAAATTAAAACTGCTACCATAGCTGAAGGACCAGGAAGATAGTGGCCTAATGGTAGAAAAACTTGGCAATGTCTACTTTGAGTCAGTTAGGCACAAGGAAAGGAGACCCTAACCCTCTTCCTAGCCCACTCACCAACAATTTCAGTGGGTTCAGGCAAGGAGCTGATGTGTTTCCCATGGCTCAAGGAAGTAGGTAACATAAAATGGTAACACTCATGTGTCTATTAGTGGCACACAGGGAGCTATTCTTTATTCCTCCCACTGGAAGCAGAGAATGCCCTAGATCCAACTCCAGGTAGTGTCACTGGAGCCCATTATGAGTGAGTGGAGTCTCTATATCTACCAGTCAGGTGATGAAAATGATGTCCACCCTAGTGTCAGGCGTGGGAATGACAGTAGGAGACACCATGGTGTCTCTCAGCTTCCCATCACCATGATAAAATGCCCAAGAAGATAATGTAGAGTAGGAAGGATTTATGTTGACCCAGTGTCAGTTCATGGTCTCTTGGCTTCATTGTTTTCGGGCTGTGAGACATAATATCATGTTGGGGACCACGTAATGGAACATAGCTGCTTACCCCATAGTGACTGGGAAGCAGAGAGTGAGCAGGGAGGAGCAAGGGGGAGGGACATGACACAGACCTCAAGTACATGCTTTCAAGGACTCACTCTCTTCTAGTAGGTTCAACTTTACCTCCAATAGCCTATCAGATTATGAATCCATCAATGAATTAACTGATTGGCTCAAAGTCCTCATGATGCAGTCACTTCCAAAGCCATCTAGTGCCAAACAAGCCTTTAGCACATGGTATTCAGTAGTAGTTTTAGGTTCAAACCACAACTCTCATCCCTCTCAACTCCCGAAGTGGCTAGGTAGGGAGTTGAGACCCAGCATCATTTGGCCTCAAAAGAATGATATAATACTTGACTTTCTTTTTTTTAATGAGAGATAGAGAGCCGAACCCGCATCCTTACCCAACATCAATAAGGGGCATGGTGAGGGGCTGGAGAATGGGACAAATTGGCATTCTGTCTCCTTGTTCCCATGCCCAGGTGGTGTAAATTAGTGGTCCAACTTTGTTAAGACACTATTGAGGAAATAAAGTGTAAAGAAGAATACCCTTAAGCAGGGACCCTTGGAAACCCAGACTGAAATAGGAGCTCATTATAATAATATCCAAATACCCCCAAATGCAAGCAAGACAAAAAGAGCATCATTCGTCATATGACAAGCCAGGAAAAGCATGAAGGAAATTAGAAAATCAGCAGATGCTTAGTGAAAAGCATCAGATGCTGGAATTTTATGACAAGGATTTAAAAATAACCACCACCAAAAATGTTCCTATGATAATAAAACAGCACATCATGGCTGGGCGTTGATGGCACATGCCTTTAATCCCAGCACTCGGGAGGCAGAGGCAGGTGGATCTCTGTGAGTTCGAGGCCAGCCTGGTCTACAAAGCGAGTTCCAGGACAGCCTCCAAGACAATACAGAGAAACCCTGTCTCGAAACAAACAAACAAACAAACAAACAACAAAAAACCTCCAGCACATCATGATGGGAATGAACAAGCTGGAAACTCAAATTAAAAACATTTGTAGTTTTTTGAAGAAAAATGAAATATCTTGATATAAATCTAGCAAAACATGTATAAGATTTATATGTTCAAAATCACAAGCTTTCCCAGAAAATAACAAAGAAGACCTAAATAAATGTAAATGATTAAAATCGACTTTTAGGAGGAAAATAATGACTAGATATGCAGCTTAGTTGGGAAGAAAAAGGAGTATGAGATAAAAATAAATACTTTACATTGGTATGGACTTTAGTTTAATGATACAAATTTAAGGTCAATTTTGTTATATGTATGTTTCGCTTGTTTAGGTATTGTGTTTATACAGCTCTTTTAAAAATGTAATATATAATTAAACACAGATGATAGTCACCTATAATAGTCAAAACTTATGTTAATTCGATTTTCTAGATATACAGAGATATATTTGAGATGGATAGGTATTTTTCAAACCTTTCAAAGACCTTCAGAATATGACATTTAAAATGGTTTAGGGTTTCATGACAGTGAGACACAACTGCTCCTGGCAACACCAATTCAGAGAGGAGGATGGGCATCGAAGAAACTCGTTATTGAGTTTGCCTTCAACATAGCAAGGCTGGTTATTTGGGTAAGAAACTGCTCTTGCCTGCACTGTTTGACAAATATGCTGTACAAATTGGATATACAGGACCCACAGGAAAGTGACTGCTGAAACAAGATGGGACATTACTGTAAGGTTCCTGCTTCATGGAAGAGTCTGTCAGATACTTTACAGGAAACACACACACAAAATGACTGACAAACTGCTGATACAGGTGGACAGTTTAAAATTTTCTACTTAAGAAGTCTGCCAAATACACTAGGCCAGTGGGCTAAAGATGGATGTTCCAACATTACAAAGGAACTTTGGGTCAGACTGTCCAGGCAGCGAGATGTCTCTGTCAATTCTAGAGTTTATATATTATCCTTCTGAGTCTTTGATGGAGTTAAAGACAGTTATAGTTATGGTTTTCCTTAGTTATGATAAAAGATAAGTTACATGTAAAACTTTAGACTCACAAAGATAGGATAGATGATAAAGTATTTTCTTTAAATTTTGCCATATATTAATGGAATATTGTTAACTATAGTTCTTGCTAGGTAACTGTTTGCTATGTATAATTTTACTATGTTAAAGCTAAAACCCTTTTTATTTAGACAGAAAAGAGATGATGGGGGATGGCCTTTTGTATATGTGTTTCTCTTATTGGTTGATGAATAAAACAGTTTGTCCAATGAGACAGGAAGATAGGTGGGACTAGGAGACAAGGAGAATTCTGGGAAAGGTAGGCGGAGAGGGATGGCAGAGACGCAGTACTGCAGAATGAGTACCATGCCGGATTAGGGGTAAGCCACAGTCTTGTGACAATACATAGATTAACAGATTGGGTTAATAATTTAGAGAGAGCTAGCCAATTAGCAGTCCAAGCCATCAGCCAATAGTTTAATAATCAATACAAGTCTTTGTGTGCTTATTTGGGGCTGAAAAGGGCGACGGGACCTGGTGGGACAATAAAACTGCCAACAGCAGTAGGTAGAGTGCTTGCCTGGTATGCCTGAAGCTCTAGACTTAAGATCCAGCACAGAGGCAGGAGGGTCAGAAGTTCAAGGTCATCCTTAGCTTATATAATAAGTT